CCCAACCGCGTGGTGAGCCCCGCCTCCCGCCCCGCCCAACTGCCAGGTGAGGCCCCAGCCAAGCCGTGAGAGCTTTGCCCCTCCCGGTGCAGTCACCCAGCGAACCGCAAAGTTCCTACTGTGTGCTGGGCAGAGCCTCCTTCCCTGCCAAAGACCTCACATGCCGAGGGCCCTGAGGGTGTACAGGGCGGGGGAGGGGTGCTGCCCCAGCCCAGTCCTCGCCCCTCATGGCTCGGTCCTCTGTCCAGGTGTGCCCCATCTGCTCAGCGATGCCCTGGGGGGACCCCAGCTACAAGAGCGCCAACTTCCTGCAGCACCTTCTGCACCGGCACAAGTTCTCCTACGACACCTTCGTGGTAGGTGTCCGCTGTAGCTGACTCGGCCTCGCCCTCCGTTCATGCCCCACCCCAAGGCTTGCTCCCCCCAACAGCCCCTTTCCCTCAGACCACCCCCCCGGAGTCCCACCCCTCACAGCCGCGCCCCACTTGCACCCTGCTCCCCTTACGTGCCCCTCCTTGTGCTGAGCCAGCTTTAGGGTCCCGAGCAGTCCCACAAAGTTCGAAGCGCGCGGGATTTCTGTGAGGTTGTCTGGTCGGGGAGAGTGCCCTGTGGGTCCGGCTTGGAGGGGTGATAAGTCCAAGTGGCCACCAGAGGGAGCCTGCGTGACTGTGACAGCGCCGATGTCTGCAGACCTGGAACTCCAGGCAGCTTCCCCAGTTATCAGCAGCCCTAAGTGTCCCATTCAGCCCTGCCAAGGGTTCTTATCACAGCTCCCTTTGCTCTGGGATGTCTTTGGAGAGGCAGAGCAGTGGGGTACCCACAGGTCCCCTGAAGAGGCACTCCTGTCCCATCAGGGCAAGGGATGGGTCTTGAGGACAAGGACAGGTAGAGGCACTGTGTCACCTTCATCTCACTACCCTATCTGGGAGGGGCAGGACTAGCCCAGGCCTCCACCCCCGCTGCACGCCTCTGGCCTCTCGGCTGTGTCCCTCTGCACCCCCCACCTGCTAACTCCTAGGTGGGGGACTGGACGTGGGGGAGCTGGTCTGTCTGGGGTGCTCACACAGGGTGACACCTATCTTCCAGGATTATAGCATCGACGAGGAAGCTGCCTTTCAGGCTGCGCTGGCCCTGTCTCTCTCCCAGAACTGAAGGCCCGGCCCGGTCCGGCCCCACCCTCCACCCGGGGTCCTGCTCTCATGTGGACATGCCGCCGTGCGCCGTGGGAGGAGGGCAGCTGACCCTCACCTCCCTGCAGCAGAGCTCGGGTCACAGGGGCTGTGGCCAAGCCAGTGTCCTCGCTGTGTGCCAGGCAGGGCAGCCTGCAACCTCCAGCAGGTGGTGTCCTTCCAAGCCATGAGAACTGCACCGAGGCCCAGCTGCTGAGCTGAGGCACCCCGCCGCACCCCTGCCGTCCCGGCCGCGCCCCGCCCTCACCTGCTCACTTGGTACTGGCTTTTGTGATCCCTAGAGATCCCGGGACTTTTCTACCTTCTCCAATGTGGTAATCTTTTCACATTTTATAGGGCAAAGACAACGCCATCCCTCTTCATATCGCAATACCCGTGTTTGACTAGGGATAATAGTATTTTTATGGAACATTTACAAGATTATATTTTTTAAAAAAAAACAATCAAAAATAAGCGTTGTGTGGGATCAGGGCGCGGGGAGACCCGGCAGGAGCCGGCAGCCAGCTGGGTGGGGGCTCCACTCTTGCACACGTGACACAATGGTGGTATCTCTGTCCCCAGATGACCCCTCTCCAGCTTGGGGTCAGTCTTATTAATAACAGGAGGGAACCAGGCCCCCGCCCACTTGCTGGGTCTGCAGACAGGGCAGGCCTCCAGAGACGCAGGCAGGGTGGCTGGGTCCAGGGTTCTGGCCTTGGTGGAGGTGGGAAGTGCCCTATGACTCCCGCCCCCGCCCTGGGGCAGAACACGGAGGTGGGCAGGAAAGTGCGCGTTTTGTGGCTTAAATTATCGCTGTCTTTTAAAAAATTTAAATAAAATGTTTCAGAGCACCTATAGCCAAACTTGGCCAGCGGTTTTATTCCACAAATATTAAAATCAGGGGCTCACCTGGGGTCACCAGATTGAGGGGCAGGGCGAGGGAGGCCCTCCTGCTGAGAATGGCCCTGACTGACTGTGCATCTTGCCTGCTCCTTCTCTGCAGCCAGCACCTGCCCGCCAAGAGGCGGAGCTACCCCAGAACCCCCCAGGGTAGCTCTTCCCCAGCCTGGCCGTGCCCCAGGGGCTGGCCGGCCACCTCCACCTGACAGCTTGTTTGGCAGCCAGTGATGTGAGGGAGCGTGTCCGTTGTCACCCCCCTGCAGGTACAGGACCACACGACACCTTTGAGGTGTCCTGCTCAGTCTCCTGAGTCTCCACTCGGCCCCCTTGCTGGGGGTGGGGGGGGCTCCCAAAAAGGCGGCCCCATGCTCACTGTGGGTTCTGGGGGCTTGCAGCACCCTGTGAACGCAGCAAGGGGCTGCACTGTGCCCACCGCACAGGCCTGCCCTAACCCGGTCCCAGGGCAGGCAGGTGCCCCCCTGGCCATTGGGATGTCACCTGCCCTGTGCCACTCTGGCTGACCGGGGGACGCCCAGTGGCTGCCTTCTCTGAAAGCAGAGGCTTCTCAAGGAAGCATTGTAGAGTGCCCCCAGCGTCTCTTACTGTTCCCCAGTCACCACCACATCCACCCTCACCCCAAACCCACAGTGGGCAAGGAGCACCGGCAGACAGCCACAGGGACCTGGGCGTTCGAAAGCACTGCTGGGAGGTCATCTGCCCTCCACCTGTAGACAAGCCTGGGGCTGCGCAGCTGCTCTGTCTGCCCCTGAAGGCGGCAGGAAATGACCTCACAGGAAGGGACCCAGACCCACTTGCGCCCAGCTCTTTATTCGGTGACCGTCGATCGGAGCACTGGTCTGCCCAGCGTCTCAGACATGGCTAGTTACAAAGCTGCAGGTGATTCACTTTCACTCAACCTCCCTCAAGGACGTCTGCCTACGTGTGGTTCTGGAATTCTGAGCTGTGTCTGGGCCAACTCAACGCTGCTGGGGGCCTTCACCCCACCCCGGAAGGCCACGTGCCCCAGGCCTGCCCCTAGGGCTGGTCAGGCTGGGTTTACTCCGGGCGCGGACTCAGTCCCACCGCTGACGTTTGCAGAGTCGGAGGGCTCCAGGGCACCGGAGTGGAGGTGCCCCGTAGGCCTAGTCCCCACCTTGTCTCCTGCCTGTGTAGACCCGATTCCCGGACCATGAACTAGCAGTGCTGGGCTCAGTGCCCGTGAGCCTGTGGCCTTCCAGCCCTGACGTCCGCTCGTCGGTCCGCAGCTCGGGGAGTGCCCCAGGCCGAGGGGCCGGTGCGGGATTCCACGCCGCGCAAGGGAGTCGCGTAGGGAGGGCACCTGCGATCCCGCCCCCCTCCCCTTGGCCGCCCACCTGTCCTGGGCGTAGCGCAGCGGCCCCGGCCGCGCCCGCGCCGGCCACGCCCATGCAGGCCCCGCCCATGCCCGCACCGGCTCCTGGTTGGCGGAGAAGGCGCGCCATGCTAATAAGCCTGGCCCTTCTCGCCCATGCCCCGCCCATGTCCTTGACCCCCGCTCCTCCCGCGACGGGCTCTGATTGGCGGAGCCGGCGCGCTATGCTAATGACTAGACCCTACCCACCCCGGCCCCGCCCCCGGCCCTGCCTGCGGCCCCACCCGCCTGCACCCGGCCGTGGTTGGTGGAGCCTCGCGCTATGCTAATGAGCCTGACCCTGCCCGCACCTGACTCAGCGCCGGTCCCGCCCGCCCGCGGGTGTCGGGACAGACCGATAGACCGAAGAGTGGGGACCGCGTCCCGGCCCCGTCGCCCGGGAGGAGAAGATGCCGCGCTCGTTCCTGGTGAAAACTCACTCCAGCCACAGGATTCCCAACTACGGGCAGCTGGAAACGCAGAGAGGTAGGGCCAGCGCCCAGCAGCCGGGACACCTGTTTCAAGTGCTAGGTGGGAGGAGAGGGCATGACCTCGCTCGCGCAGCAGGGCCGAGGCCTCCCGGGCGGACCTGGGGCCTGACCGTAAGTAAGGTGCCCCCAGGGCCCTGGCTCACCTCTCGTGCTCAGCCACCAGCACTGGGAGAGGTCCTCTCTCTCCACTTAGAGCAGCCTTTGTAGGCGCCCAAATCTTGGGGCCTCATCACTGCAGTCCAGCTAAGGGGACCCCGGACTCTTCCTGGTGCAGCAGGTTTAGGAGAGGTCCTAGGGATGGTGGGCAGGGAGACAGAGGGCCCCCTGAGGGCTGGCTCCTAGAGGGACCCCCAGAGCTCCTGGCTTGGGTTAGGTGAGCAGACAAAAAAGAGCCAGGGAGAGGAGTCCGTGGGCTCCCTCACCTCAGAAGCCCGTCTGGCCCCCGCTCAGCTGGGGAGAGACCGCCTCACTCCCGCGGTCTCTTCCCCCTCTCTAGAAGCCTCGCTCACACCGGTGGAAACCGGCGCAGGGCATGGGCTGGGATCCAGCCCACTGAGAGCCCTGCCTGGTGGCCTGGGGAGACACGCTGCCTGTCCATTCAGCCCCCTCCCTGCTGGACAGGGACACAGGAAGCCTGTGACAGCTGGAAGATGGACCGTGTCCACTCCAAGAGCCAAAGCACAGAGGATTCAGGGCGGCCCCTCCTAGCTCAGCAGCTTCTTGGGACCAGGACCTCCTTGGGAACTGCCAGTGGCCCTGGGTGGGAGCAGAGGAAGGAAGGGAGCCCTTTCCATGCAGTGAGTCAGAGCGGGACAAGTCCACTCGCGGGGCAGAAACAGTGCCAAGGCTGCCACCAGGGGGTGCCTCACAGAGCCTGCCCTTCAAAGGGGACTCGAAGTCCGCTAGGCCAATTTGTAGAAAGATGGAGCACAGTGCAGTCAGGTGTCTTGGGTCATAGTTTACAAACCCCTGCTTCAGCTGGGTCCCACAGTGCCCCTCACTCTACCACGTGGGTGCACACCTGTGCTCCCAGCACCTGAAGGGGTGGGCTCTCTGCTCCCTTCCTCCCGCCCCGTGGCTCAGGCTGCCTGGCTTTCTGGGGACAGACGGCCACGGTGGGCCTCCTTCTACCAGGAGACTTCCCTAGAATAGACCTCAGATGCTGGGGTGGTGGTTCCCCACTCTGTCATTTGAGTAAAGGCCTCTTTAGGGTTGCCCAGGGAACCCTTTGAAGTCAGAGGGTCCTGAGAGTGTCTTATGCCAAGAATTGGAGGTGCAGAATGGACGTACAAAGCTAGGGAAACCCAGCAGATAGGGGATAGGCGTCCTAGACCCAGCATGGGTCCACAGCCCCTGCCACAGCTGACCTCCACCCTCTGGAGCCAGTCCGGGCCCTGCAGACCGGGCTGGGCTGGGGGTGCACAGGGCCAGCTTAGAAGCCACCTTGGAGATAAGTAGCAACTTGCTTCCAGCCACTGAAGCGTGGGAGACAAGAGGCCCTTCCCTGTAAGGCAGGGTTTGGCATGGGGAGCTCCTCTGTGCCCTGCACCTGTCTCGGGGCCCCTGGGACTTTGTCTCAGCCCGTCACCGCACCACCAGCTCTTCTGGGAGGATGGCCTAGATTTGCTGACTTTGTGGCTGGGACGATGAGGCCGGGGGATAGTGGATGGTATACCTCCATTCCCCTTCTGAGATGAGGGGCCGGGGTGGTGGTGGATGGGTGTTCCACCACCCATGCAGCCATACCCGCCCGGGCACCCCTGTCCCCCAGCCCCTGCCCCTCTGCATTGGCTCTTGCCCAGGTTGGGGACACCAGAGGGGAGCCCGCCCAGGAGAATAGTTTGCTGGAGGTAAAGGCGTCTTCATGCCAGCTGGGCCAAGCGAAAGGCCCATAGCTTTGACACACACGGGGTGGTGAGATGGGACCCAGCGGAGGAAAGGGGAACAGGAAGAAAAACAGGGGAAGGGCCAGCAAAGAGGAAGTGAATAGAGACAGGCGGAGAAAATCATGTGAGAGAGGAAGAGAGGGGCGGGGAGGGGGCGAGGGGAGGGTAAGAGCAGGAATGGGCAACTCCGACTCGCCCTGCGTCAACAGTTTGGATCTGGGGCTGTAGCTGACGACAGGTGAAACCGAGCCTCCTGCACTCACTTGGGAGGCAAAGGGTCACAGGGCTGCTGCTCCGTGTGGTCCCCACCCCGCACTGTGTCCCACTGCCCGGCTTGCTGGAAGTTGGGACCAAGGAGGAGGGCTGGGGAGAGTGCTTCCTGTCCAGGTCTCCAGAGGAAACCTCAGCCCAAGGCTCTCCTGTGGCTCCCAGGAATCCCCTCACATCTCGGGGTGCGTGAGTCTGGCTCCTGAGCCTTGCAGGAGGGTCCCTCAAGCATCATAATGCACTCGTCACGCTGGGAGGTGCAGCCAGCGACCCGTAAGGACACTGACTCAAGGTGACCCCTGTGTGTCAGGGTAGACCTGCGCCCACGTGGGTTTCAGTGGCTGTCACCCTTATTCCGGGCCACCTCTGGGTGGAGAACCACCAGCTTTCAGTCAGCAACCCAGTGCTTTAACTGATTGCGTGGCCTCCCTGCCCCGTTCTTACAGGCACCCTTTGCACCCACCAATTCAATCAAGCCCACGGTTCACTGACCACCCACTGTGTGCCCAGCTCTGTGCTGACTGTATGGTAACAATAAAGGGTCTCAGAGCAGAGAGTGAGGGTGAGGACCACCATACACGACACGGTCCTTTGTCACACCTGCCCCTCTCTGCCCTTAGCCTTTCTGTTTTGATTTTGTTCTAACGGCTCTATTGAAATATAATTCAGTACCATACAATTCCACCAGTAGGGGTGTACAACATCATAGTTTTTCGTTTATTCACAGACGTGTGCAACCATCTGAAAAAAACCGTTGCCATCAGAGTAGAACTGTTTCCAAAGCTGTAAATCTTCATGGAAGCAGACTGCTTCGTCTTTTCCCATGGAGGGGCTGGTGGGTTTGAACCGCCGACCTCCTCATTAGTAGACCAGCACGTTAGCTACTGGGCCACCAGATCTTCTTCCTCTTCTTCATTTTTTTAAATTGTGATTTGGGTGAAAGTTTATGAGCAAGTTCATTTTCCATACAGTAGTTCAGACACACTTTGTCTCATGACATTGACTGCAGTTTCCCACGATGCAACAGCTCCCCTCCCACTTCCTCCCCATAGTCACCTCTTCCCTGTGTCTTTCCCTCCCATCCACTCCTGCCCCCTGAGCTGTCTCCCTGTGCATACACAGCCCTTCTATTCTCCCATGATTCATCTCTCCAAGGAGTGTATCTACCTAATGTTAACTGTTCACCTTATATGCCTGTCTTCCTTTTTTTGGAAGCCACAGGAGTGGGTTCAGTTAAACCCTGGTGAGCAGCTAGGGGCCATACTCTCAGGTTCCATTAGGCTCTATCAGACCTGGTCCCTATTTTTTTTGAGTTTTGTTCCACATTATTCTCCTACTCTGTCCAGGATCTCCTACATAGATCCCCCTTCAAGTGGTTGACAGTGGTAGCCGGGCACCACCTAGTTCTTCTGGTCTCCCAGTTGTATAGGCTGAGGAGCACATGGTGTACCAGTTCCTTGGACTAATTGTTTCCATGAATCTTTGGTTTTCTTCATTCTTCTGTGCTCTGACAAGGAGAGACCCATTGTTGCATCTAGATGGCTGCTTGCAAGCTTTTAAGATCCCAGTTGCTACTGGCCAAAGTAGGAACAATGTTTTGTGTAATATGTTATGCCGATTGAGCTTGATGTCCTCTGTGACTGTGGTCCTGAGCCCACAGGTCCAACTCCTCACTCCCTTGGGGTAGCTGGCTATGACCAAGAAGTGACTACACCCTTGTCCCTTGCCAACTCTACTATGTACCTGGGAATTTGTACAGAACATAGCAATGCACTTGTAGAAACGTAGTCTGCCAACACTATGCATGCTTCTCTGCATAGACCTATGTGTTAGACTGGGTTCTCTAGAGAAACAAAACCAGTCAAGCTTATATATATATAGAGAGAGAGAGAAATTTATCTCAGGAAAATGGCTCACACACTGACAGAAGCTGGCAAGTCCAAAGTTCTTGGATCAAACGTCAAGCTGGAGGCTTTTCCCGACTCTTGCAGCTGCAGGGCTGAGGCGCTCAAGGTTGGCAGGCAGTCTACTGGCTGTTGACTCCAACAAATGACGAATCCAAGATCTCTAGGCCGAATGGTGGATTGTTCGCTCACGGACAGTTGTAGGCAGCACAACAGGATCCCAATCCACAGAAGAATGTCTCTTTTCCCAGGATGTTCATAGATATACTAGAAGCAGGCCACACTCCTAGGGAAACTTCCTTTCAAAGGATTGGCCGCTCCGAACATAGTCATCTGATTCCATCATGGGAACAACCACATCACAACTGCTTAAACCACACAGAATTGTGGTTCACCTAAGTTGACACACAGCTCCAACTATCACAACATACCTTATAGTTCAGCCTGTCCACCCATCTCTCTGCCCATATACCCATGTTTGCCTTCACTGACTACGTGGTACTGTATGTGCAAAAGGGTTCATCTTTGTTGTGTGTACCTCCCATGTACCTCTCTGTACCTTCCTCTTCCTCAGTGCTACCATGTTGATGACTCACGTTTGGTACATTGCCCTTCTCTTCACCCAAATCAATACTTATCTCTATCTATCTAACAGTATTCCCTCCCCTCCCCTCCCACCTCTGGTAACCAATGAAGAAAATTTCCTTCCATATATAAACCTTTCCTTGACTTTTTACAATAATGGACTAATACAATATTTGTCCTTCTGTGATTGATTTATTTCACTCACCATAATGTCCTCCAAGTTCATCCATATTATGCGGTGTTTTGCAGATTCTACATTATTCTTTAGGGTTGCATAGTATTCCATTGTGTGTACGTACCATAGTTTGGTTATCCATTCCTCAGTTGTTTCCATCTTTTGGAGATTGTAAATAGTGCTGCGATGAACATGGGTGTGCATGTATCTGTTCTTGTCCTGGCTCTCACTTCTTTAGGAGATATACCTAGTAATAGGGTTGCTGCCTTAAATGGTATTTCTAATTCCAAGTTTTAAGGAATCACCATACTGTTTTCCACAGTGGTTGTACCATTTTACAGTCCCACCAACAGTGTATGAGAGTCCCAATCTCTACACATCCTTGCCAGCATTTATTTTCCATCTTGTTGAACTTTGCTACTAGTGCTGGGACAAGATGGTATCTCACTGTTGTTTTGATTTGCATCTCCCTGATGGCTAATGATCGTGAGCATTTCTTCATATGTTTGTTGGCTGCCTGAATATCCTTAGTGAAGTGTCTATTCATGTCTTCTGCCCATTTTTAATTGGATTTTTTGTCTTTTTGTTGTTGAGGTGTTGGAGTTTACTATAAATTCTAGAGATAAGTCCCTTGTCAGATATGTCATTGCCAAATATTTTTTTTCCATTCTGTAGGTTCTCTTTTGACTCTTTTGAAGAAGTCTTTGGAAGCACAAAAAAAAAATAGTTTTTTTTCACCCCATCTCTCGTCTGCTGTTTGTGCATTTTGGGTTATGTTTGATAGTCTTTTTATGCCATATATTAGGGCCCCTAAATTTGCCCCTACTTTTTCCTTGAGATACTTTATAGTTTTAGGTTTCACATTTAAGTCTTTGATCCATCTGGAGTTCGTTTTGGTGTATGGTGTGAGGTACAGATCTTGTTTCATTTTTCTGCAAATGGATCTCCAGTTTTGCCAGCACCATTTATTAAACAGACATCCTCTTCCCCATTTAATGGATTTCAGCCCTTTGTCAAAGATCAGCTGACCACAGGTTGACGGATCTGTGCCACCAGCTCTCGTCCAACCGTCGCCACTGTCTAGCACGTAGTCATCACCCCAGACAGGAAGTGCGCACCTGTCAGCAGGCACCCCCAGTCAAGCCCCTGGCACCCACCCCTCTGCTGTAGTGTCTGGTTCTATCCATTCTGAGATTGTATAAGGATGGAATTGTCTGCCACTGACTTTTTATCTGGCTTCTTTGTCACACAGTATCTTTGAGGATTTCTGTGTCATGCTATGACACTTACTACATAGCATGGATTCATGCGTGGTTCCTTTGTGTGGCTAGATGGTAGCCAGTCGCCGTAGGGACATACCACATTTATCCATGTGGGTGGACATTTGGGGTGTCTCTGCTTTGTGAGTGTTCATTGTGGTTTGAGTGAAGGCTTACAGACCAGCGTGGTTTTTCATTCAGCAATTCCCTCAGTTTGGTTCCGTGATGCTGAATGTGATCCCCACAACGTAACGGCGCTCCAACTTCCTGCCTGTGTTTCCCTTTGTCCTTCTCCCTGTGCCTCCTGCCTTCGGAGCTGTGTCCCTGGGCACACGCTGCCCTTTGGATCCAGCGTAGCCGATTGTGCTGCAGAATGACTGGTACCCTCTGGACCTGTCTGCTGCTTCGCTGTGAGCCAGGGCAGTGAGTTCAGTGCCAGGCTTGAAGCGTGTCTAAGGGCACTGTGTCCACGTTCTGGGCATTGTGAGTGGTGCAGTTGTGACCACTCACGGCCACTCGTGTACCAGCTCTGCATGGGCGCTTGTCCTCACTTCTCATGGGCGGACACCTGGGAGTGGGCCTGCAGGGTCACAGGGAGAGGCTGGCTCTCACCTTTGGAGAAGCCGACGGCCTGTCTCCCAGCAGCTGCCCCCTTCACAGCCCCCCACACCCAGCAGTGTATGCATATCCTGACGCCTCCACCTTTTGCCAGGACTCGTTATTCCCGTTGTCCCGGTGGCTGTGAGCGTCACAGCACTGCACTCTTCACATGCATGTTCCAGGAACTGGCTGTGGACACACGCTCATGTATCTGTTGGGGAGAAACGTGTACTCAAGTCCTTTGTACATTTGTTTCCTAAGTTTCATTTCTTTGTTGCTGTGAGTACACACCACAGAACTGACACCTGGTCAGCAGCTTCTCCGTGGCCAGCTCGGTGACATTCTCCAAGTATGCGGCCACCCTCACCCTCCTCTTCCAAGTGAGCCCTCTCATTGACAGAACGTCACCGCCCCTCAGGTTCCTGCCTAAGCTTTCAAGCTGCTGTTGTCAACTTGATCCCATGGGTCTTGTAAAGACGCAAGGGGAAGGAGTCTTACCTCCTCTAACTTCACAAGGCAGCAAGAGGTCAGCAGCCTGAGGCTGATTCCTGTGAAGCGGAGGTCAGACGTGCCTCCACCCACCAACCTTTCATCGATCTGACACCAGCCTCCCTCCCACCGCACTCTTCACTCTCTGTGGGTGCCGTCCTTCACTTCAGTGGCCATGCAGACCTCACAGGAATACTCGCAATGATGGGGTTTATTAGGAAAAGAAAAAAAAACAAACTCACTGCCGTAGAGTCAAGTCGACTCAGCGACCGCTCTTTGGGTTTCCGAGGCAGTATCTCTACGGAAGTATATTGTCCAGTCTTCCTTCTGAGGAGTGGCTGGTGGATTGGAACCGCCAGCCTTCTGGTTAGCAGTCAGATGCCTTAGGCACTACACCACCAGCGCTCCCATTAGGGAAACAGCAGCTTACAATTCTGGATCAGCCATGAGTCAGGATCCAGTTCTTTGAGCAGGACAGCCTCTTGCCAGCAGTGCCCACAGGCACCTGTCTCTGGCCCTCAGCCTGTCCACCCTGCTCAGGCAAGTGTTACAAAGCTTTTAGCTCCATGATAAGTGCCGAGAGGCACCCCTGTCCATCAGTCAGCCTTGGCCCGAAGCCACTCAGCCCTAGGTCTGTGGGTCGCAAACAGGCCCACCGGGTGTGCAGAGACACTCTTGGCCCGAGGCCCTCAGCTTTCGTGCTCCGTGGGCTGAGACGCCCAGCGCACTGTCTTCCTCTGTCCTCCTGGGCCTCTGCCACCAACTCTCACCATCTCTCTGGTGGTACAGCCATGTCTCCTGGATCTTAGGAGGTTCTCAGCACAGGGACCCTGGGTCCAAAGCATGCACTCTGCTCCCCTCTGCCCTTCTTGGTGGTATTCAGGGCCCCCCTTCACCTCTGGGAAGGCTCACTTTGAGGCCAGCTCCATGGCGATCTGCCCGGCCCCATGTCAGGTTCCACACACCTTAGTTGCAGGGTCCCACCCCAAGAGTGTCCTGTCCCTTACTGACATCATTAGCAAGCTGTCCAGTCCCCTTGGTGGGTCACACGGACCTCATACTCATATAGTCCCCTCCAATCATGTGGTGGGAGCCAGAGACCATGGCTACAAAGGCCACATGAAGTCACCCACTGCACTGCAGTTCTTGAAGAAGTCCAGTGCACTAGGTACACATTCTTTACCAAACTCGCTGCCGTCGAGTCGGATCCAACTCATAGCCACCCCTCCTTGGGTTTCTGAGGCGGTACCTCTACAGAAACAAATTGCCCAGTCTTCCTTCCGAGGAGTGGCTGGTGGGTTTGAACCTCCAGCTTTCTGGTTAGTAGTCAAATGCCTTAGGCACTACACTACCAGAGCTCCTATACTCTTTACTAGCTAAACTGAACTATCGCTTGGTTTTAAGAAGACTTCAGGGAATATTTTTGGTTGAAGGTTTAAAGATTCATCTCAGGGCAATAGTTTCAGGGGTTCATCCATCCTCCATGGCTCCAGAACATCTGGAGTCCATGAGAATTTGACATTTTGTTCTGAATTTTCCCCCTTTTGATCAAGATTCTTCTACAGAATCTTGGATCAAAATGTTCAGTGATGATACCCAGGTACCATCGGTTCTTCTGGTCTCTGGCAAAGGAGGCAGTTGTCCATGGAGGCGAGTGGCAACCCATCCCACAGCCTCCCTATTCCTGACTCTCCTCCTTCTCTCTCCTTTCCTGTGACACAGTTGTATAAGCTGTCTTCTCAGGGTTGTGTTGCAAAAGTTCTTTATTCTGGAACAAGCCCCCGATCAGGTCTGTGATTTGCAAATACTTCCTCCCATTCTGTGGGTGACTTTTCACAACAGACATAAAATCTGACCAAAAGACCCCGAGTGGAAGATTTATTCCAACTCGGACGGAATAAGAGACAGGTTGAGGTCTCTGTGGGGACTTAGGCTGTGGGGAAATCTGGGCATCAGCCGTCACACTCGGACTAGCCCGTGGACTTTGGGACTGTCATCATTGTAACCATGGAGGCTGGGGCGTGGTGACCCTCCGATTCCCAGCCACAGCCCCGAGAGCCCAGCATGGGAATGATTTGGATCTTAGCCGTGGAAGCCAGTCTTGACCAGGGGAGCATTGACAGGAGGGTCCTACCCATAGGGCTCAGGGGGGAATGGGGCAGTAAGGGGGCCTCTTGGTGGCAGAGAAGGTCCTCCCAGAGCATCCTGCCATCACCCCCACAAGGTGATGCCTCCAAAGGTGGGCTGATGGGGGTCATTACCTGTGAGTAGCTGGACTGGACTCACCTGGCCGGCTGCCAGGCCTCCTGACTGAAGTCACAGTGCTGACTCAGCTCAGTGCTTCCCACTCTGGAGGTGAGGCAGGGGCTAGCTGACCAGGGCTGCCCCACCTGGCTTGGTCCCTGAGCCACCGCTTTCTGGTACTGGGCACAGGGACCCATGGCTGGCTGGCTGGCTGTCGACTCATCCTGCAGACCAGGCCTCTCTGTCCCAGGTTCCCATGCCCCCTCCCCCTGCGCAGCAGGGCGTCCCCGTCCCCACGCTTGCCCTCTGTGCGTGGCTCTGAGCCCCAGTCTCTGAGCACCTGCTGTGATGCAGGGAGCAGTCCCTGACCGAGGGGTGATGCTGGGAGCGGAGCGGGGGTCGGCCCTCACTGTGCACTGTGCTCTCTCCCTCCAGGTCTAGAAGCCTCCTGCTGGAGCTGTGGGGGAATAGTGGTGCCCTTCCTGCTCCCGGGCGGTGACACTCTCCGGCCCTGGGACCGCGCTCCTGTCATCTCGCGCCTCCCCCTGCCTCTCCTGCGCAGCGAGGAAGCGCAGGGGGCCTTGAGCCCGGGGGACCCGGCGGCCCCCGGCGCGCCGCTCAGAGACAGCCTGAACCGCCTCGCGCTGCCCGGGCGCCGGCCCGCGGTCCAGAACTCAGGCGGGGACAAGGCCCCCGACAGACTGTGCGGGGCGGCGGGCAGCCCCTGGTCCCCCGGCTGCTCCGAGTGCTGCCGCTGCCGCCGGCCCTACGCCCCGCACTGCGACCCGCAGCCCCGACGCCGCTTCAGCTGCAAGCGGTGCGCCAAGGAGTACGGCAGTCTGGGCGCCCTGAAGCTGCACCTGCGCACGCACACCCTGCCCTGCGTGTGCGCGCTCTGCGGCAAGGCCTTCTCCCGGCCCTGGCTGCTGCAGGGCCACATCCGCACGCATACAGGTAGGGGGTGCAGGGGCGCGGGGGCGCGGGGCCACATCCGCAGAAACACAGGTAGGGGGCGCGGTGGGCAGGGGGCAGGGGCAGGGCCACATCCGCAGAAACACAGGTAGGGGGCGCGGGGGCACGGTGGTGCGGGGCCACATCCGCACGCACACAGGTAGGGGGCGCGGTGGGCAGGGGGGAAAGGCAGGGCCACATCCGCACAAACACAGGTAGGGGGCGCGGTGGGCAGGGGTCAGGGGCAGGGGGGTGTTGCACAGGGGGCCTGCAGGTGCGGACCCACACAGGTAGGGCAGGGGGAGGAGCCTTCTGCACAGGGACTGGGGTTGGAGGAGGAGGTGGGAAGTGGGGCAGGAAGGAAGGAGGCCCATTCCCGGGGAGCAGAGAAAGAAATGTGAGCCTCACACAGAAACCAGCGCCAGAGGCACAGACCCAGAGCTGACCAGCCGGGGGCTAGGGCTGGAAGGGGCTGCGTCCCTGGGGGACCTGCACTACCCAGTGAGTGTCATTCGTGTTGTGGGATTGTGCATTTAAAAGGCTGGCACAGCAACCTCCCCGGCCTGTCCTAGAGATCTCCTTGAATTTTCCTCCACACCGGGGCCAGGGTGGCTCTGGGAGCCCCAATCCTCTTAAAACGACCCAACACCCCATGCTCTTCTGCTCCGGTGCATCTGGGGTGCAGTGCTGTGGGACCGGGTGCCCGGGTGCCGGCCAGCAGGGGTGTAGGTGCTCTGTGTGCCCTGGTGGCAGCAGTCTTGGCGTCTGACAGGATTCTGTAGGATGTGAACAGAACACCAGCCTCACAGGTAGTGAGTGCCCTGCCCTTGATCCTCCCCAGTGTCCCCTGCTGAGCACGACACCCCAAAGCAGGAACCAGAAGCCTGGGGGAAGGTACTTTGGAGCACGTGCGGATGTGGGCAGGGATTTTGTATTACTGTCCTGCAGGAAAACGGCCTGGAATGGGTTTCCCAGCAGAGTCCTTTCCTTCTCAGCCTAGCCTTCAAAGGAAGGTGGCTGCTTGCTGGGCTTCCAGGACCGCTGGTCAAACCAAATCACAAAACATCCAACACAGCATTGATTCAGCACGTTTACTGACTGATTCAGTGACCATCCCACTCACCACCCACATCTGCCCGCTCTCCACCCACGTCACCCCGCTCTCCACCCACGTCACCCTGCTCACCACCCACGTCATCCTGGTCACCACCCACATCTCTTCCCAAGTTTTCCCTTGCCTTCCACCGAGGCTCGCTGCTTCCCGGCCAGGGGTCACCACTCTGCCCTAGGCACCTGCTCCTGGGCAGATCTGCAGGAGCCAAGCCACCCACTGCTTCTCCATCACTGGACGGCCAGGGGCTTTGCAAGTCAGATTGGAGGGAAAGGCCCCAGAAGTCCAAGCAGCCCCAAGTGGAGGGGTCAGGTGCCCTCTGTTCCCCAGGATGAATTCTGCATACCCCGCAGTGAGCCACACACCGAGCCAGTCAGCTCAGGCAATGCCCGCCGCTCAGCCCCAGAGTTTCCTCTGGGGTCTCTCAGCTCTCCTCGCAGGGAGTGGGCTGTGGAGGCCTGTGAGTGAGCTTTTGAGGGGAGGGCTTTCACTTAAAGGGGCTTTCCCTTGCCTAGGGACTGGTGCAAGATAGTCCTCGGCTGTCACGACTGAGCATTTTGGCAGAAGAATCTTGATCGAAAGGAGGGAAAATGCAGAACAGAATTTAAAATTCTCATGGGCTCCAGACTTTCTCCAGCCATGCAGGGTGAACGAAACCCTGTAACTATTGCCCTGAGATCATCTTTAAACCTTCAACCAAAAACATCCCCTGAAACCTAAAACCAAACAATCATTTAGCTGAGCTGATAGAGAATGCCTCCCTTGACCACTGGGCTCTTTTAAGATCTGTCTGGATGGGATCGTATTGACAACAGCAACTAGAAGTTCAGACGGGGGCCTGCGGGGCAGTGAGTGCGTGTAGACGGAGGAGGAACAACTCAGGAAGTGAGGGAGAGGCTGGTGGCAGACTCGCAGAACGGAATCCGTGTCCCGGAATTATCCATGGGGAAATGGTTGGATCCGTGCGGGGCCTGCTTGTGCACAGCAACAAGAATAAGTCACTGCAAACAAAGGGGGTCTGTGGCCACCGGCCACTTTCCCGGGCTGCTTGCGAGGGCCCGTCACCGCCCGTCTTTCTCCCCAGGTGAGAAGCCCTACACCTGCTCGCACTGTGGCAGGGCCTTCGCCGACCGCTCCAACCTGCGGGCGCACCTGCAGACGCACTCGGACGTCAAGAGGTACCAGTGCAAGGGCTGCGCCAAGACCTTCTCCCGCATGTCACTCCTGGCGCGTCACGAGGAGTCGGGCTGCTGCCCTGGGCCCTAAGCGCCGGCCGGGCGTCTCCAGAGGAGAAGAGAGGACCAAGCTGGGACCCAAGGCTGGGATCCCTCCTGAAGCACATATCACCTGGTGCCTAGAGGAGGCCTGTGTCAGGCAGGACCTCGACCCGTCTGCCGGCTCCTCTCCCGCTGTTGCCTCCGCCTCCAGTCAGAGCCGGGGAGTCCGATGGCAGTAGCTTCTGGGCTGACCCCAGGCTGCCATCCAGACCCTCCACCCCGCACGGCCCAAACAGGAAGCTCATCCCGGGGTCCCTCGTGTGGTCTCCTGTGGAGGTGTCCTGTGCACCAGGGGCCAGCCGGGGGGGTGCAGTGCTCTGGGACCGGAGCCTGGAGGAGGGGCCCCCCCTGTGGGGGTGATCAGCACGAGAGGCCCCTGCTGCCTCAGGCTGACTAACAAGGCGCCTTTGGAGGTGTCTGGTGCTGAAACCACCAGTAAGATGTGGCCTGGGCTGGCCTCGAGCCTGCCTGTGGTTGGGGCAGGACACGCTGTCCCCCGTCACTCTACGTGCAGAACCATGGAAATGGAGCAGGACCCACGCAGTGTGACCGGGGCAGGTCTGGGAGCCTCGGTGCCCCCGATCCGTGCTGGAGTCTCGCCGTGTGGAACGTGGACAGCCACCTCTGTTGTTCTGAAGGCCTCTGAAGAGAATATGGCTGCTGGGTCGTAAAGGGCCCCTCACTGTCATCGCTGTCCCAGGAGTAAAGGGCCCCTCACCACTGCTGATCCCGGGAGTCACTGCCCTGGCCTAACCCCCAGGGTCCTTGGACGGCGGGCACGGAGGCTTCGGTGTCCCGGGACAGCCGGACCTCTGGCTGCAGAGAAGGAACTGGAGCGCGGGGCCGTCAGTGGAGGCTGGGGGAGGCAGGGGGTGCAGTGAGCTGTGGGAAGGGGCACAGAGGTGCACAGGTGATGGGTGTGGGTCAGGAGTCCTGGTGAGAGAACTGGATGGGCCTAGGGACAAGCCTGTGGGGGGTCTGTGCGTCTGCAGGACGGGGTGGCTTTTGTCCGTACCGGCATCGAGTTTAGACCAGGACCCAGGTCTCTGTCCCCGTGCTCAAGCGCCGTGCGCGTTCCCCTAATCACTGTCCACCTTGTGTTTGCCGCTGTGTCCCCTCCACACCCTGGGGGGGACATCCTAGACCCACCAGCCCTGCCCGAGCCCCTCACGGTGTGCCACAGCGACACAAACCCCCGGAAAGAAGACCCTCCCTCCAGCTTGGTGGCTTCCCGTGCTCTCACACGGCAGTCACACAGCCTCCCGTGGGCTGCCCACCCCTGCCTGGTCCTGATCTCCCGCCCCCGCTCAGCCTGGAGGCTGGCGCCGGTGGGAGGGGCCGTCCAGCCAGCTGGAGGTGATGCAGTCCTTGACCCCCCGGCCAGGAGGGCGGTGAGCTGTCGGACACCTGCTCCTCCACTGAGCGCCGGCCTGATGTCGGCTGCTCCCCGCCTGGTCCCAGCCAAGGGACGCGCGGCAGCCACCTTGAAACGGAGCCGTGGGCCAAATGGGCCTGAGCTGCCTGAACCTGTCAGCCTGCGATTCCCATCAGAGAACCTTCTAGAATGCTCCCTGGACCGTGCTGGCACTCAGGGCACCCCGTTCCCTTCCCCACCACCGGGTTCAGCCTTCGCTGCAGGCAATGACAATGTCCGGCCTAGGCTGAGCCCCCTGACACTCATCCTGGCTGCTGCCATCTCAGAGGGCTGAAGGGCTCAGGAGGCTGGTTTGGTGGTGGCCATTTGAGGGGACATCTCAGGGGCAGCTGGCTTTGATCTTGGGCTCCTCTGGGCCAAGAGTGACCTTGGTGAAATGGGCTCCCAAGACCCCAGGCTCCAGGCCACCCCCAGGCCCCGTGTTGGGAAAGCAGAACTGAGAATAGGACACTCCTGTCCCCAGAGGTGGGCCCCCAACCTCACACGCGCAGGGATTGGCCGCCCCTCAAGGGACAGTGTGAACGGAGGCTGGGGGTGCCCATGAGTTTTCAGAGGCGTCTGGAGGCACTCTCCCAGGGGACCCGACAGTTGGCACTAAGCGTATCCTCTCTTTGCTCTCAGTCCACGGGGGGCCATGGGAAACCCTCTCCCCTGTTTCCTGCAGCCACCTCCCCAACGTGGGGCCTCATGGGCTCCTGCCCCTTTCTGTCACCGTCTTCCAGGGCAGAGGTCAGGCACAGTCAGGACTGGGGCCCTGGGGATGTGAGACTGGGTTTCTCCCTCACAGGGGGTGACCCTTCCTGTCTTGTCTCCACAGCCCGGGGGCTGGGAGGGGGCTCTGCCCAGAGCTGGCAGAAGGCGTCTTGGCCACTGGTGACTTCGGAGAGCATCACTGGAAGGGCCCTTGATCTCATAGCAGCCAGCTGCCTAGAGGAGGCCATATTGTAAATGGTGTTCTATTTCTGGGCCCTGCGAGCTAAATGGGGCTATTGCATCTGTCTGGCACGAGGAAGGGAATTTCACAGGCCGAAAATAAAGTCAAATGTTTTCCCTTCTGTAAGAGCCCGTGGAAAATGCTTGTATTTATATCTGGGCTGGTGGAGGACAGGGGTAATGGAAGCTGGACGGACACCGGCCCAGGAGGACACGGGCAGCCCTGCCAGCGAGCTGGAGGGCAGGGAGTGGGGAGGTGCCGCCTCCAGGGAGGCAGGCGGGCGCGAGCGGCAGCCAGGCCCCCGTGCCCGTTGCCGCCCCTCGGTCCTCGCAGGCTCCTGCCCTGCCCCCGAGGGTCCTCAGGAGGCAAATTGCCAAATAGGGGGCTAAGGGGTGTGGGGCCCCTGGGTGCTACAGACGGGTCACTCTCTGAGCTCACTGAAAGGTTCGAGGTGTGTCTCCGCCCAGGGGCACCTTGGCAAAAGCCGGGCAATCCGCTTCGGAAAAGGCAGCCATTGGGAACTGCGGAGCCCAGTACGCACGCACGGGGTCCCCCGGGGTCCGGGTCAGCTCGCCAGCGCCTGGTGCTGGGGGGGGAGCCCTGTGGGTGTGTCCTCAGCTGAGTGTGGGAGCCTCCCAGCTCTTTGTCCTCTGAGGACTGTAATTCGGGCTCCCCACCCCACATGGCCTCCTTCCCACTCCAATTTTCATGTATCACTTTTTCTCCCTAAAGAAAGTCCTTTTAAAAAAATTGTGGTGAAAATTTACATAACGAGATTTGACATTTCAGCCACTTTTAAGGCGTTTTTAAGTAGCTCGGTTCCACGTGGCTTAGCCACTGCCACTGTCATTCCCAAAAAGCTCTCTGGGTGGGGGGCTCCAGCTTCTTCGCAGCTGGCAGGTCCTGGGGGGTGGGCAGGGGCAGCCGACGACCAGGGCGTGGCTGGAGCACGTGAGAAAAAATCATGGGGCTGCTGCCTGCACCCCGCTGCTTTCTGATTCATCGGGTGCAAGCAAAGAGAGTAGGTGGCCTTGGTGGGTGCAAGTCGTGGGGACAGGTGTGACAGGGACACCGAGGCTCCAGCGGCCAGTCTGTCCTGAAGGCCTCAAGGCACAGAGGCCTGCTTTTGCCTCCAGAAGCCTGGAGCTGCTTATAAATAGCAGTTTGGCCCCGGCTCTTCTGGGGGTTCTCTGCATGTTTGAAAATAGTTCACTTGTTACTATCTATACTCAGCCCCTCCTGGTCCCACCTGTGTGCCTAAGTATAGCTCCCTGGCTCCGCTCAATGGAACGAAAGTTTCCAGGCCCCTTTACCCAGTGGGTGGCAGAACATTCCAGGGGAGCGTCGGGCTGCCAAGACTCCAAGGAGCTCAGAGGCTAGAAGGGACATTGGGCACCGGCCACGCCCCAGCTCGGCTCCCAGGCCTCCCCTTTCCGCTGGAGACTGCAGGGCTCACGGGGAAGCGAGGCCACTGCTCCCAGCAGTGTCGGGGCAACACCAGTGATGTCTGTCGTCTGTCGGGGTGGGCCTGATGCCTAAGTAACAAGAGCGCAAACCCACAGCCTCACGTTGATGTCGACCCATAGCGCTCCTAGAGGACAGAGTGGAACTGCCCACAGGGTCTCCAAGGCTGTCAATCTTCACAGAAGCAAAGCCTAAACCACACCCACTGCCATGGAGTCCATTCTGACCCACAGCGCCCCTAGAGGACAGAGTGGAACTGCCCCTCAGGGTCTCCAAGGCTGTCAGTCTTCA